TTTAATTTCAAGCAAACCGAAATCACTTCATACATTCTTATTCATTTTTGTCTACAAAAAGCGGAAGTGGCTATAGTATGGTATAGTAGGTACATGTTAAGCAGGCATATAAATACAATATTATTATTAAAAATTTAAATTATTTAAAACATCAGTAATTTAAAAAATGTGGCTTTATATGTTACTTTTATATTAATTTCCGTAGGCATTACATTTTAATGAGAATCTTAATCAGAAAAATATTCAAGAAAGGACGAACAGGTAGTTAAAATTGACAGAATTTACTTCGATTTTCAAGTCCCATTAAAACCATTTAATTTTTCATAAATACAAAAATGTTGTGTTTGAAATATATCGGAAACAAAATAAATTATAATATTTGAAAAATTAATACTTATCCTGAAAATTTGAATTTCCTTTCTAACAATTTTTGCTTCCTTGAATTTCTGAACATTTTTGGAAAAAAATAATTCTACCGTAGGAACAAACAATTATTAGCTATTAATTACCAATTATTACAAGTCAGACTTAAATACCTACAGTAGAAAAGATAATTTCAACACAAAGGTGGAAACAATTGTTTATTAGACAACCAGAGTAGACGTTCAAAGATTATTGATTAAAAAATGATATTGGAGATATTAATATAAGTGTTTAAAATTTAAACTTTACAGCTGATAAAAACTAAATTGGAGAATATTAATTGACTATCTATTTGTTACATTATTATATTTATTTGATAACTGATACCTATTTGCATACGGAAACTATGTTGAGAAGAATCCATCTTTTGAGAAGGAATGAAGAGTTGCTTCAAAAAATATTTGTTGAAAAAAACAAATAACTTGTAGATCATCCAATCTTATCGTTATCTGCATTAAAATCAATTGTTTTACGATTACATTGAATGCAAGATGTCAAGTTGACAGAACACAATTCTTGCTGAGATGACTAAGAAATTTGATGCGATTGACAAAAGGAATTTACAAGATTGAAACAAAAGGATTGGTATTAGAGAATTGGAAGGAAAATAATGTAACAAGATGACTTTGGGTTAAGAAAATATACCTTCTACCATTCCTTCCTCAAAAACATGATTGTGGGAAGGAAACTAATTCCTTCCTTCCATCTTCCTTCAACGATCCCTTTGCCTCACGTTGTTCATCATTAAAGTGGGGATAGGAATGGGATGAATTCCGTTATGGCGTGGTGTTTGTGGAAGTGCATTCGTCAGGATGATGTGATTTTCAAGTTGCACTAGGGTAAAATAAAACTGTAAAGTGCAACCAACAGATGCAGAAAAGTGTGTCGTGATAGTTTCTAATTGTTTTTATTAAGAATTGTAATGGCACAACAGACTTTCGGCAATTACAGCTCCTGCTGTCGACTATGTTTATCAGAGAATTCCAGTTCCTTGAAGTCTGTTTTCGATAGTTCGACGAGCCGCTCATCATTGAGTCAGCGAATATATACTAGTTTAGGGATCGAGGTAAGCTTAATGGACCCAAAACCTAATCAAAATAAGTTAAAAGCACTGTTCCTCATAAATTGCAAATCTAAAATCTTCGAATTGTCGGTCATTTTTGACCTGTTGTCACCGGTGAAAAGAACGAACGAACTCAAGGAATCCATTGAAATCTGACATTATTTAGTGTCGCTCTACAGTATGATGCGTGCTGAGTGCAATTGGTAAAATTTTATCAAAATTTTGCAAGTAAAGTGGATTATACCACCTATTTCTTTTTGGTAAAAAATTCCAATGATTCAATAAAACTGGAAAAAATGTGTACCAACTTCCTTCAACTCTTTACAATCTTGAATTTATTCATTTTTTAAAGAAGTATACTACTAATATTAGGACTACCTTTTATAAAGTTAGGATTTAATAGTTCCAAAAATTAAATAAATTGAAATGCCTGATAATCCATAAAAATTAACTTTGATTTTGTTAACCTAAAAGTTAACCATAAATTTGAAAATAAAATGTTTTGGTTTCGTTAATTTTTTTAGATTGAAGCTTCAGACAAAATATCCACCATGATTTGTCAGTCTTGCATTGGAATATTGAATGAATGGGACAAGTACAAAAGAAGTTGCTTAATAAATCAAAGAACTTTAGAGTTAAGGATGCAAAATTGGAATTCAAATCAGATAGCTGATGTGGTGATTATTATTTAAAATAAACTGTGATATTGTAGTATTTTACAACTATTTTTATTGCAGAGTTTACAAATTAAAGATGAAACATTGTATGATGAAGTTGATGATACAGCTCGTGCAGTTAATGATGAGGAAAGAGAAGGGGTAAGGTTTTATTTGTTTATAATAGACATACAATTTTGTTTATTATATAATGTAGGCAATAAAGGAAGAACCTATGGAAACAGAGCAGTATAACTTAGATGACTCATTTGAGGATCTTCCTCCTCCATTAACTCCTCATCCACCTGAGAGTGAAAATATATTTAATGAAGACAATTCTTCCACTTCATTTAATGATGAAACAGTTAACAGTGTTCCCTCAGGAGACTCTAGAGTATGTAGTATTTGTGATAAGGTATTCAGCTCAGTAAGCAATAAGAACAAACATGAACGAACAATCCATGCTAATAAAAATCAAGAAGATTCAGAAAATACTAAATCTCAGAACAGTGAAGGTAAAATTACAAAAAATAAGGTCTTTTTTATTTTAATTTCTTCCCTACAGTTTGTATAGATGATGAAAACAGTTCTGGTTTACATTCATGTAATGGTGAAACAAATATGAGTGATGCCCAACCAATTCCTGCTACAGTTGACAATTTTACGAGTGAATCTGACCAACAAAAAATTCAGTTTGCTGCAAATCTAAAATTAAAACTACAACATCATGCAACTCCAAGTCCGAGTCCTTACACGTTTAACGGATTCACCAAAATCGAGACGAGCTACTTAGAAAAATGTAAAGCGATGATTAAAATGAATGAAACATTCATATGTATTTGTCATAACGAACAGCTCCATTCATTCAAACAGATTCTTCAACACATTAGAAAGAATCCCATATGGTTTCCATGTTACACTTGCTTTAACTGTATGATCACTTTTACTGATCGGTCTACTTACATGAAACATTATGCGTCCTGTCCAAAAGAGAAATTGAGAAACTTAAAAAGACTTGCTGAGGCAAAAGAAAACACCGAAATGAAAGTACGACTTTATCAGCTTTATGTTTGTATGCTTTGCCACTTTATTTTTGCGTATCACGAGGACTTTTGCCAGCATGTCAACACTTTTCATGTTGGGAATTCAGAGACAGAAACGAGTTGCAAAAAGTGCAGTACTACTTTTGAAACGGCGGATGCTCTAAGACGACACATGTACCTGTCTTCATGTATAATGAATTATCGTTGTGACATTTGCGGGAAAATAATGGGAAGTATGACCGAATTTAAAGCGCATTGTGAACTGGAACACGACAGTTCTGAAGGTTTTAGTCTAGAATCCAAAGACAATTATCGGAAGAGAGTTTCAGCACCCGCTGAATTGATAAAAAGACCTGAGGAGGTAAAACGACGAAACCGTGAAGCGCCTAGGTCAGTTAACAAAAATTATTTCTTATCTGATAATAGGAACTTAATTTTTTTTATTTTCAACTCCTTTTTTTTATTTAAAATTTCTTTTGTTACTAACTACCATTTCCGGGTATTTCTTCCAATTTTTTTAAAGTTCGCCTCCTCTTTTTTTCTCGTTATAACATTATACAAATATTTACATTAAGTTCTTTTCTGATACCATATTCAGAGAAATTTTGACTTTTTTCGTAGGTTGGAACCTGAAGCTACTGAAGTTACTGAAGAACGTGAGAAAGTTGTTAATCCTCATGCCTTAGTGGGCCCGAAAAAAAAATCACGCTCCGCTTGTCACGTTTGTGGCAAGGTTTATTCAAGTTATCACAACATGATGCGTCACGCCAAAACCCATGACCAATCATTGAACACCCTCATGTGCAAGTATTGCCCGGAAACATTCCGACTCGTTGTTCAATTGAAACAACACGAAAATGAAGTCCACAACATTAATAAATCACCAGATCAGGTCCCTAGATCTAAATCAACACCCCGAAATGTTAAGGAATTTAAGTGAGGAACTGTTTTATTATTTAATGAGAAATCAATGGTTTTAAAGTAGTCAATAAAGCAAATAATTTCTGAAAATTATATGTACTTTTTATTTATGACTCATTCAGAAAAATCACGTAATTTAATTAATTGGTCACATTTATATTTTTAATTTATTCGGTAGTGCTAATTATTAAAGAAATTGTAGTATCATTGATCAAATTTTTATTAAATTTATTATAGGTATTCATGTCTTGAATGTAAAGCTACGTTCGATGATTTAGTAAAATTCACGAAACATAAGGACATGCATAGATTACCGTGTGAAGATTGTGGAAAGAAATTTACCACTCAGAAAGAACTGGATCAACACAGAAGTGTTCACCTCAATATTAAAGTATATAGGGATTCCAAAACACAAAATTATAAAAGCAGTATGGTTAGTGCTTTACTAATGTGTGAGGTAAGCAATTCATTTTAAGTGACTCATTTACATATGGAAACGTATGCTAAATTCGCGTTTACATGAAGGGGTATTAATGTAGTTTCTGAAATTTTGCTTTGTTACAGGTTTGTGACAAAGTATTTGACACCAAAGAAGAATTGGTTCAACACAAGTCCCTTCACGAACAAATGCCCATTTTGACAGCGCAAGATAGACCTGAAGACGATAAAAAAGACAATACTAAAAAGTACTCGTGTCAAGTATGTAATAAAACTTATTTAGGTTACGGTGGTCTTTGGGAACATAACAACAAACATCACCCTGGTCGTAAAATTCCTCGCGAATATCCACGTCAATGTAAATATTGTGACAAAATGTTGTTCACAGGTGGGTCGTGGTATATGCACAAGCAAATGCACGAACGTTTATCCTTCCAATCACAAAAAGTATCTAATAACACAAATCACGTAAATGATGCAAAATCGGCGGCAAAGAAAACTACCAGCAAGGATAGCGATGACGCCGAGTCCTATTTTACCTGCAAAAAGTGCTTTAAAGTGTTCTCCAGCAAATACAATTTACGTAATCATATGAAATGTCACGGTATCAATACCAACTCGACAAGTCGAGCCCAGTCAAAACTCGGAAACAAATCTAAAACGTATTGGTGCGATGTATGTCATCAAGCTTGTCTAGGACTTGCAGAACTTCAAAAACATAAATTGGAACATGTTGAAGAGGGTATACCACAACTTAATAATGAAATTCAGGCCGTTGAACCGAAAAAACTTCACATATTCCTTTGTGATCTGTGTGACAAAGATTTCACAACTAAATTTGCCCTTAAAAAGCACAAAGAAAGACATGACTTGGAATGCACACCTATACAAAAGAAACGTTACTTCTACTGTAAGCACTGCAAGATTCCCTTTAAAAACATGACCATCCTGGAGGACCATATGCAAGGAGAACATAATGAAAGTGTTGCACCTAAACCCCATACCAACCAAAGTACCACTACTTCAAATAAACATCCCTGTAGTGTGTGCAAGAAGGTTTTCGACACTGCCTCGGCTCTCTCATCTCATCAGGGATGGCACAAGCGTGGCAAAGTTGAGAAACAACTAAGGACACAGGAAAAACTTTTCCGCAAAATGGTAAACTCCTTTCCTTCTAAAGAGGATAATAAAAAGCAACAAAATGAATTACAACCACAACACCAAACACCTACAGAAATGGAATCCTTTCAATGTCTTACATGTTTCCTACAGTTTTCTAATGAAACTGCCTTGCAATTACACGTTCTAGAAGCTCATAGGAAAATTGACACCAAACAAATAGTTGTTTTCCATTGTGATCCGTGTAATTTAGATTTCGAAACGCAACTGGCTTATAATAAACACCAGCAACTGCATAAAGTAGTAGAACAACAAAAAACTAATCAGCAGCAGCATCATGTACCCCCACAAGTTATAGATGGTCAGAAAGTGTCTAAAAATTTTTCGTGCAAATATTGTCCAGCTAATTTTACACGTAGTGATCACTTAAACGCGCATATAAAAGAAAATCATCGGGAATTTATAAAGAAAAATTTTAAATGTACTCAGTGTGATCGGTTATTTGAGAAACAAAATGCACTCTCTACGCATCTGAAGGTGCACGAAAGACAGAAACAGGTCGCTGGAACGGAAAAATCTATTGATAAGTTACCTAAAAAGTTTTATTCTTGTTCCATTTGTCATGTCGGATTTCCAATTGCTAAAGATCTAAGGAATCATATAATTTCGACACATCCGTTTTGAAAAGGTTTGTTCGTTAATTTTTCGAAGCTGGAAAAGTTACATTTAACGTACTTTATTTGCGAGGGATATTGCAATTATTTTCTTGAATAAAAGAACGGTTGTTTTCAAAAATTAGCGAAAAATTTCACTCTTTAAAAGAGTCCATAAATTTATAAGTAAGAAAATTCAAGTCTTTTTGACTTTTCTGATTGTATTTTGTAACCAAATTGAAGATAAACTTGTTTAGAACATCTATTTAATTCCAATTTTCAAAAGTGGTTTTAAATTAAGAATATTTTGTATTTTTTAGGATTGTCTGTTTCCCGCAGGATTATTTATTCCAAGTGTTGTGTTATTCATGTTTTGGGGTAGTTTTTTTTACTTATAATTAGTATTGTTGACGTTTATATTTATTTAATTAATGTACCAGCATATTTTTATTTTTATTTCTTAGCGAAACTTTCTATGCCTATAAGA